CATAAGGAAAAAGTGTATAAAATGGCTGAAATTATATTATACATTAGCTGCAAGAAGTAGGCAGTTCCAAACTGCTAACTTTTTTGCTAAATGATTGAACTTTTGCCAATTTATAATTTATTTTTCAAGTCAGATATTTCTTAGGTTTAAAGTAAAGTTTTTTTTCTTTAGGAATAGTTAAAGTTTACCAGTTCTTTTGATTTAAAATAAATTTAAATTGGTGAAATTATGAATTGTATAATTTTATATACTCCTCCCTTATTTCCTTGAAATATTATTTCTAATTTCTTAAATTAGGTTCACAAAATTTCCCCATGTGCATGGTATCACAGCCTCTTCTCCTTTCCTCTCTACAGTTTTCTCTTAATTTCCTTAAAAGTGCCGGCAAAAAACTGACGCTAATGAGCTACTTAGGCAATGACTTAAGTCGTTATTGTGCTGCGGCATATCATCGCATTACACATTACATTACACATACGCACTGTGGGCCCGTAATTTAAGCCTTCGCCAGCCCTTTTTGTCTTAACTACTTTGATTTTTGGCTCAAAACTTTTGCTTCTAAGGACTCAAGGAAAATTCCTTTCATGATTGAGTCTCTATATATATTTCATCCTGGTCTGGCCATTTGTTGCTCGCCATTGTGATGGCTGGCTTTTGTGTGCGTGTTCCGTAAAATGGTATATAATATTCGATTAATATTTCAATAAAGTGTTTGCCCCTTTACGGATTATAATAAGGTCTATTGTGTGACCCTTTCGCCAGCGTCTTACGTCCTCGAAGGAACCCCAAGTCAACCCGGGCACAATGGCCAGCAGCAGCTTGAGTTTGCCGAGGGAGCGAGAACGCCTTGAATAATGTAGTTTCGTGGAATTAGAATTTCTTCTTAGTCGCCCCCAACCACCCACTGGCCACTCCATTCAATAAGCGGCCTTTTGTATGGGATATTTGTAGATTTGTTTGTTGGCCCCAGATTGAGGCACTTGCCGAGCAAAATTGCACCCATTAAGACGTACGTACGTCGTGGTGGGGCGAACAATGCCAGCTGATTCGGAGCCTCACAGCGGGCCTTATTATGCCTCCAAAAATAACAAGCACCCACGCACACTCACAGCAGCATATTCTCGTATCAGGATACACCTCATTAGGTTTTGGCATTAATCAGAGCGGGAAAACTTTCACCGCCGCCAACGCAGCCGCCAGCTGATGTCAATTAAATGCGCCAGTCAAAATATTTGCAAAGGCACTGAGGAAATTATTTTTGGTTCTTTAATTTATTATTAAATAAAAAATTTCTTGGAGGTTTGCTTATATGCTATAAGCTTGGCTTCTGTTTAATTCAGCTACTTTAAGAATATTTAACTATTTTTATATATTTTAATATTTCTTTTATTTTAAAACATTTTAAAATATATCATTTACTTTTTTGTTTCTCTGCAATTCCCTTCTTTAAAGACTAAACAGCCAGCCAAAAATAGTTGCTGAACGGCTAGACCAACCCGAGTGGCCTGAAATCAGTGTCATCGCGCTCTAAAATGTGCTTTTATTAATTAAATCGAGCAGGCAAGTGTCAAATCAGCGCCTCTGCCCCTGCACCCGCCTTCTTGGTTGTCACCAATTTTTTGCCACCTCCCCTGCGGCTTGTATTGCGGTTCAATGTGCGACGATGACGACGACGACGACGACGACGAGGAGGTTGGCGGTGGTGGTGGTGGCGACGAACAACAATTTTGTACATGTCAACATGGTGTCATAATTAAAATGTTCACCAGGCCATGCCACTCGCCGCCCGTATTTGGGGCTGAAAATTGGAGGTTTTACATGGGCGACCTCGTACAAGGCCATGGCCGACAGGCATTTCCTTTCCGAAAAATTTGGCCGGGAGACATGTTTAACGATTGGACAGAGCTGAACCTGAACCCGCGTCTCGTGTCTCATGTCTCTGGCTGTTGGATTGGCTGATTGGTTGCGGCGGTTGGCCAAAAATGCCACCAAGCTAATTGGAGTGCCGGCAGAAAGTGAAGATGAGTAAGAGAATCCTTGGTAATCGATGCCTTTGGTGGGCCCCAGTTTAGCCTTATTATAAATTGTCATTTTGTGTTGTTTAGACTGCTTAAAATTCGCTAAAAACATGTTTGCCTGCCGAGGGGGGGAACTTTATCCGGGCCACTTAGGCTTGATTAATGTGCCAGCCAAGCTGGACGCTGGTCATCGTAAATAAAAGGAAAAATAAAAAAGAACGCTGGCTCTGGCGTGGCTCCTGGCTTTTATTGTCTCAAGGTTAATTTGAATGGCAAACTTTACGTAAGCATTCTGCTATATTAAGATACTTTATTTGGCTCTGTCCTTCGTCTGGCGTCCTCCCTGCTCCACTTTATTATTATATTCTGCTATATTGTGCTATTTTTTTCTGCTTCCTTTTTTTTTATTCACTTGTCCAATGTCTGTCTGAGCGGAGCAACGACCAGGGAGAAGTAACAAAAAAATTAATCAAAAATTCTGGAGACAGGCGAGATACAGATACGAGAGATATGGAGGGGAATGCCCCGGGCTATTTGCATTTTCCATTTTCCTACCATCACGCATTTATCATGATTGCAATAAATAATATTGTGGTTTAACCCACCACTGGCCAATGAGCGGCAGCAGAAGCAAAACAACATTTTTATACACTCCGCTCAGTTGTTTGGCTTTTTAAACAATTTTTAAACTGTTTGAATTCCGATGGAGGAACTTTAAGCTGAAATTCCTCCGGGGCTGCTGTCAGAGAGGGGTTCAGTCACTGTGATTGAATGGTTGACTGCCGGAGTGACTGCATCGATTCCTCTTTTGAAGGACGTTTTCAATTTGTGGCCAAAATTTAAAGAATTTTCAACGAAAAAGGCTGCAGGCAGAGTGGAGTGCGCCAGTTTGTGGCAGCTACTGATGTAGGAATTTCTGTTGTGAATTTCCCAGCTAGTTTGTTGGGCTTTCCCCCCTTCCAGGGAGGCTCTACCCCGAAATTCAAATTCAAATTCAGCCACTGGCAGGACCCGCATGATAATGCGCATATTTCTATGGATTATAGCCTACTTTTTGGGGGCTGGCTTGGAGAGCCTTCGACTTGAGCCGGCTGAATTAGACACACTCGGAATGTATCCCGCCACTCATATGCATAAATATTTTCTGCGTTTATTCTCTGCGTGACCCAAGAATCGCGGAGGGGGAAAAGGAAAGCCATACAACGATCTGACAATTGTGTGCCGGCAACTTGCAAATTTGCATACAAAGAGGCCGCAATTTTGCGCTTTGCATGTTGCTATCGCAGTGCTTGGCAACATTTTAGCTATTCGACGCTTTATTGTTTGCAAATATGAGAGTGCTCAGCAGCGATGGCATTTATTGCCCTGCTAAATAATACAAAAAAGAAAAAACGTGTCTAAATTAGGCTAGAAATGTGGCCAAGAATACCCAAATTACCTAGATAAAAACGAAAGAAATAGGAAAGATCGCGGGTAATTTATGTATGAAAATTCTTTAAAAACAGATAACTTTGGAAGAAGATACATGAAACGTGCCATTCAGGCTTTTTCTTTAAAGGTGGCATTTATCAAATATTAATTTCTGTTTATTTTTACTCTTATGCTTTCATCTTGTATAAGAAAATGTGTGGGTAAACATTTATATATTTAATTTGATATTTTAAATAAATTTGCTATAATGACTTTCTTAATATAAACAATAATTAAACATTTGATTTCTAAACAATACGGCTGCTAGAATAAATTTTAAAAAATCAGTAATCAATTTTAATTGATTTATTGGTTTCTGTTTTATAAATAAACATCAGATTTTAGGTATTGTTAGGGTAAGGTGGGGTAAAGCCGACCTAGTAAATGGTTTTGGCTTTAAAATGCTTATTTTACATCGGATAAAGTCGTTATATATACCAAATTAAAGGTTAGACTTTTGCGCAACGTTCTATGCATAGCATTTTATTCATACCTTTGAAAAGTTTTGAGATACAAGCGTTTTACGAAAAAGTTCATTTTTGCTATGTTCAAAAATGATGGGGTAAACCCGACCGCCTATGTTTTTGGTTGATTTAGTACAGATATAACCTAAATATAGGTTTTGCAATGTTAAATCAATCAATGTTATGTTATATAATGGTAATAAAAGATAAAAGAATTAAAAAAATTAAAATAGCAAAATAATTAATCAGTATCATCTGATTCGCTGCTCAAATAGCTTGCTGGCGTTTTTTGGTTCGAGTTGAACGTCTGGTTGGCTGCGATGTTGATGGGTTTGGTGTGATTGTGGTTTTTTTTTGGATTTTTTGCGTCAGGATTTACCCCACTATTTAGAGGTCGGATTTGCCCCACCACGTAATTTTTCATAAAAACGCAATTAAAAAAGAAATTATGAAAAAAAATGAACCAAACTTATATGCACTTTGTAGGACTTTATTCAAAGAATCTAAATCCACTTACCTTTTCATGCGATAACTTTGACAAAAAGAAATATCCTGCAGTTAATTATGCACAAAAATGAAATTCAAAATTGTGAAAACAAACTTGTTGTCGTTTGACCATCTCAATGTTGACTAATAAAATGCTGTCATACCACCGTTTACATTGTTTTCGATGCTCTACACGACAACACTAATATTATTTTGCGTAGTGCTTCCGATTTTCGAAAACAGAGGGAGGTCGGGTTTACCCACACTGTCGGCTTTACCCCACCTTACCCTATATATTGTTATAGATTTGTTTCTCATTGTTTTTTAGCTAAAGAAATGTGTATTTCTGTTTCAAATTTTATTAAAATTTTTGTATATAACACAGATTCCTTTCATAAATCCCCCCAAAGAAGAGTATAGCTAATTCGCCAGCACTTTCACTCTTGAAATTCAAATCCAGACTCCCCCCATGTGTTCCATTGTTCGATTCTCGTCAATTGCCTTTAATTGGCTTCAATTTCGCTTGGGTATGAATATCCCATTTGATGTCGAGCTCACTCACCTGACACTTGGGCAGCTGCCCCTCCGGCCTCTTGACCTTCCATCCCAGCAGCGGGGGAATGCAGATAACGGCAGACATTATCCATACAGCCGTAATCATGACGGCTGCCCGCGCTGGCGTCCGCGACTTGAGATAGTCCACCGCCTTGGTGATGCTCCAGTAGCGATCCAGCGAGATGAGGCACAGGTTCATGATCGAGGCGGTGCACAGGAGCACGTCCATTGCCGAATGGATGTCGCACCACCAGCTCCCGAAAATCCAGTAGCCCATCAGCTCGTTGGCCAGCGAGAAGGGCATGATGATGAGGCCTAGGAAGAAGTCCGCCACCGCCAGCGAGGCAATGAACCAGTTCTGTATGTTCTTCAGCGACTTTTCTGTCGCAATGGCTATGATCACCAGCATGTTGCCCACCACAATGATGATCATCAAGATGGTCACAATAATGGAGGCAATCACAATGTGGGTGAGCGTGTAGCCGCTGGGATACCGCCCGTCCCAGTGTACCTCTGTGAGATTCGGATTGGTCAGGTTGCCGGACGTCCCACCCGCTCCGGAGGTCTGGTTGTAGTAGCCACTGGCCAGCTGGAGGCTGCTATTGTAGAAGCTACCGTTCAGCAGGTATATCGTGTCGTTTAGATTGATGTAACCAGAACCTAGCCCCGACCCGGAGCCAGCTGGCAGGGTCAGCTGTCCATCGACGGCCAGAAGGGGCGGATTGAGGGTGGCATTCTCCGCCGACGGTCGGCCGGTGGTGAAGACCGCCAGGAACTCATCGGTGCTGATGTTGCCCGTGTTGATGTTCGCATTCAGCCGGCTGTAGTCCATGGTGATGGATGCTGATGCTGATGGTGATGGTGCTTGGTGCTGTGACTGAACTCTGCGGATCTAGAGTCTGATTGGTCCCATGATGCGGCTGCCCGTTTATTTATAATTAATTCTGATTGCGCGCGAGATTCCAGTGCCCAATTGAATCCTAATAATTTACCTAATTCCTATAGCATATATAGCATAGCGTTCGAATATTATTTCGATTATTTATACCCGTTTTCCACCGAAACTTGTGTGTGCGTGCGGCGAAATCGCGCGCGCGTTCCGAGCTATATATGTATGTATTTATTTATTTATTTTTTATGTCGGTTTTTGGTTTGCTTGTTTGTTTTTTCTTTTGTATTTTTGCTATTGTGGTTTAATCAATTAGAGTCTACAGTATGTACAGTGGCGGTTGCGGACACATGACAGAGACAGAGGCTATGTACAGGAGGGGGTTGCTATCATGGCCTGGCCGGAACACACGCTCGATCCCATCGATCCTCCGGCTCACATGGCGTATGCGTTACGGCATCTGGTAACTATTGTGCGTGTGTGCGGTTCTTTCTTTCTTTCTTTCTTTTTAATTTTCTCACTGAAACCGAAAAATAAATTCCGCCGATCTCTGATGGATGGATGCGGTGGTGATGCCTGGTGATGAATGCTCCGCTTAGCTCCGCTTGATTTTTGCTTTTGATTTTGGTTTGCTGATTTCGTTACGATTTCCTCTGTTTATTTACACAAAAAACGCGCGACCCGCGGCCCTCAGTCAGGCGTTGGCATATTCGGCTGGATTTCTGGTTTGGCAATTTGGCTACTTGGCCAATTGGCGCGCCCGGGACACGTTCGCACCGCTGGAACTGCACATCCTAACTGAACGCCGTCCGCTGGCGCCTGTCAACGCTGCTGCTGCTAGCTGCTGGCCACCAGCTTGCTACCAAAAGTTGCCATCCACAAGTCGTTCGGTGGAGGTTCGTGTGGCGCCTTCGTTTCTGGTCGTTTTCCGCCAAGGGGAAATTCTCTCTCCGATTTTCCGGCCAGCTCTCTCGTGGAAGACTATTGTGGATGCTGTTTCATCTGTTCGAATGAGAATGCTCATCTTGAGTGTCTCATGCATGCATTCAATGCCTTTGTTTACGTTTTTTCTTTCGAAAGTGTTGTATTGTCAACAGATTAAATGTGATTAAATATCTGTGCATGGAGGAAATTTAAGGAATAAAATAAAAAAAATTAAAAGAGTTACTTTAAGTATTTAAATATTAATGGTATAGAAATAATACTTCCAAAAAATATAAAATAAGAATACAATGTTTATAATTTAAATATCAGTATAAAACAATTAGAACTAAAATAAAAAATACCGGAGTTGCTTCAATCAAATATTTAATATTTATTAAAACATTATATATAGCACCTCTGAACAATAATAACATAATATCTATGGATATTAAAAATTATAAAAAAGGTTAAAATTGATTTACTAAGTAAAAAGTCTACACTTTGTTAAATAATTGGAAATATATTTAATTGAAAATCCGTAACGCTTATTATTTTTTTTCCCAATTTATTTGTATTTTCTTCTTGATTTGGATAAATTTTACATTTTATTTTGGTATTTTAAACCATCTTTCATATTTATATCCCTTGATAACAGTTTATTAGGTAGAGAAAATTACTATTAATTAATTATTAAAGTGGAAAATACCATGGCAAGCTTTTATCTTAATAATACAAATTACTTTAATTTTAATATTAAATATATATTTAAATTAAACTATTTAATTTTAATGCGCTATATCACTTTCCTATCACCGCTTGTTGCCACTAAATCACTTACGATCCACAAGTGCCAGTTCATCGGGAAATTCTTGCCTTTCCACTCTCCCATTCTTTCTCTCTCTCTATCTGTGTTTTAGGGGAATTATCTCTGAACTATCCGGTGTTCCATATTCCGCACATTCCGCACTGTGTTGCGCTCTGTTGTGCTTTGTTTGCCTTTGTCCCAGTGCCCTAAACCAAAAAACCGAAACTTATTTTTGTGGCAGCACTTTTCACGTTTTCCATTTCGGGTGGCTAAATCCCTTTTTCCTTTTTTGCTCCTTGCAAGCCCTCCCCCTGCCACTAAAGCCTGCATACATATGTTTGCCGAGAGGGGTGGCGGCTCTTGTTGGCCAAATTCGCTGGCCAGCTTTTGTTTACCTTTTCGTTTTAACCCACATACGGGCCTACGGGCCCGGCCGCCTTTAAATACTTCTCACTCAGAGGGGGCCAATAAAGGCATAATGAAGCCATCCACCTGCAAAAGGTGTGCGGGCAGTCAGAGGGAAAAGGGAAATGGGGAAGGGGAATCCGCCGAGCATATCAGACACATTATGCGCGATAGTCACGTCTGCTGGGCACATAATTGAAAAGCGAACTTGGGCGTATCAATCGGGCTAACAGGTTGCCTTTGCCTCGTATAGATGCTGGCTTTGCCTGCCTCTTGGTCCTTGGCGCAATGAAATCAGCTAGAAATTATGATAATGAAAATCCTGAGAGCCCAGACTTGGAAGTTGTTCACCTACGCTTTGCTTTTTATGAACCGTCGTTGCCATTCGCCTTGTTCATCAAGTGTACACGGTGCGTATGAGTTATTTGATTATGTTAAGCATACGTCTTGGCACTGCCGCGCATAATTTCAAATTACACGCAGCACACATCAACATAATAAATCCGAAAAGGCCGTCGCCTGACAAACAAGCCAAGACCAACCGTCCCACACACACACACACACACACACACACGAGTGTCGTCGCACACACATCTCTCACTCGAGTGACAAATTCCGGAAACAACAAGCGACATCGGGCACTCATCTTCAATGCATGGCAGAAGATTGCTTGTCAAGCTCTGATTATGTTAACTACCTACGAAGGTGTTGCTGGATCGAGCAGGATTGCTAGCGAAAGCTATGTATCTTACCTTGGGTATTATAGGGAGGCTGAGAGACATTTGAGTCTTTGAAGTGACATTAAAAATTAAAGAAAAATATCTTTAGTTTAGGTATTTTATATAAATATTTAAAATTAAATAGCACAGGAATTTAGCAACACATTTAAAAGATGTAAAATTTCCTTTTCTGCTAAATTGCAGATGTCTTGGATATTATATATAGTTTTTCCTTCCTATTATCGACTTCCTTGTTTTACAAAATCTTTAAAATTTGCACTTTCCAATAAATAAATGCATTTCTTACTCAAATTCCTTAGCAGTGACTGGGTGATTTAGTCTCAAAGCCACACAGACTTCGACTGCGCATACATTAAACAATATGCACATATCTGAACATATATGCACATATATCAGAGCGGCCACTGCCACTGCAGCAGTGGCTGTTGCATTCGAAATTGCAGCTGCAATTGCTGTCGCTGCTGTTTTCAGCTTCTCCCCGTGGCTCTTCATGCACCACGCACACTCCACCGATGGCTGGACTCCTAATGGAATCCAACTGAATGGAACTGCATCGAGATTTGTCCTGGCACTCGCCTCGTCTTTTGTTGTAGCTGCGCTAAATCTACTTTTAATTCGCCGCACGTTTTCCATAATGAAATCGGATTTGTGGGCCGTGGGAAAATGTGCGGTAGAGGGGGTGGGGAAAGCGGAAAACCGTCGAGTACCATAAATTGAGCACTCAGAAGCACGCTGCGCTTTGTCATGGCCCAAAATGGGCCATGGACGGGGAGTCGCAAAAGTGGTTGGTTGCGTCCTGGCTGTGGTCCCTGCTAAAGGTCCCAGAATCCCAGAATCCTACCCAGAAACTGCCACAGCCACTGTCGCCGCATTTTGAGGAATGCTCAAATGCAGCGCACTAATGGCAGCAAATATATTATGCACGCTTATCATTCGCATTAGCTGGCAAAATTGTTGCTAAAAGATTTTCACATGCACGCTGCTAAAGGAGGAATGAAGCGTGCACAGAGAAAAATTAAGATTGTCGTTGTATTTTAATAGAATTGATTTTATTTTAATATTATTTTTCAAGGAAATTTGAAATTATATCTAATTTATAATTTAAGCTCAATCTAAAAGGTTTAAAGAATATGTTGCAGAAATCTAATGATTTATATTTTAGCTTAAATAATTCTAAAAAACCCTGTTTGACATTTATCTCTCTGTAAAGTTGCCAAAAGAACAAATGGCAAATGGCAGCGAGGCAGGAAATTACGTTACTCATACGCACCGTGGCCTCGTCTGCTACTCCTGCATTATCTTAATTTAAAAACTCGCTACGTCTCTGACTGGCGCGCTCGTTTGCCATGTTTTAGTTTCATTAACTCGGCTGAAAAGCCATTTATCAAGCTGTCAGCACCAATTATTTACATCCCAGCAGAGAGAGCGAGAGAGGGAAAGCGACCGAGAGGCGGTGGCAAATATTATAGAAATATTATCATGACTGGGACCGACGAGGCGTCGGATCAATCCGCATTTGGCGTTAAATGGAATGGCAATCGCTTGGCATTAAATGCGCAACAAAACGAAATTAATTGCCAACCTTTCGGCCCCCGTCCATTTATTGGCGTGCCATTTAAAGTTTTTAATCTCTTGGCGCATTTAATCGAATGGCCCTCATGGCATTAGCCTGGCAATTAACCGGAGGCATTCGGGGCAACATGTGCCCGGAATGCCAGAGTCCGGACTACCAACCGGCTCTCCCAAAATCCCCGACATGATCCCCACATGGCACGGTGTGTTATATACGCCCCGGTGGGTCCAACATTCAGGAAATTCGTTGCCTACATGGCCACAGGAAGTGCATAGCTGGAAGCAAGAATCCTCCGGCTTGGCTCCGGCCCAGCTGTAAATCTCTCTCCTTAAGTCGCAGGACGAGGCAAAGTTTCGGGGCCAAGTTTGTCATAAAATTTATGCGTCTAATTACTTGCACTTTTTTTCTTGGCTGTGTTTTTGCTCCCTGGAAACTCTCTTTTCCTCTTGATGGACCCGTCGGCGACGTCATTTATTATTTTTATGTACACAGCGAACGTTTTATTGACACGACGGGCGATTGGCTTCGAGTCTAAGTCAATAAGCCAGAGGCAGCCAGCGACAACTGAAAAGAACGAAACTTGGAGAAGAAAAAAAGAAAACCTTGAGGGGGCTGTCATTAATCTTTCGTTTTGGCCAAGTTGTGCAGCTAATTGCGCCATTTTCGTAGGTCTAGCCTCCAGTCAGGGTCGCCTTTAGCCCGCTTCCCTTTTTTGCTTTGCTGTCTCAATTTTGCCCAGTCTCCCCCCCTGGCTGGTATTCATATTTCCCTGGCCAGTGACCCATTCCTGGTCAACTAAGTATTTACAAAAGGACCTTGTCGTGACTTTAATGCCCCGAATGTTCATCTAAATTTTGTGCGGGCCAGAACGAAATAAACAAAGCGTAAAAAAACGAAGAAAATAAAATACTGCCGGCTGGCTGGCTGGCTGGCTGGCTTGGGGGGGACCAGGTAAAATAATCGGGATTATTTATGTGGCTCGGCAGAAATTTGCTTACATATTACACTTTTCCAACATTCTTTTAATTAGCTGCGCGCCGGCACAACAACAAAACGAAAAGTTCCAAACAAAAGCCGCCGCAAGGAGCTGGCAACGGGGTAGTCACTGGCGAAGGTGGTGGCTCTCAGGGGGTGCAAAGCCTGGTTAGCGGGGGAGGAGGATGGACTGTTCCTCAGTCGCTTTGTTTGGCGGAACGCACCGCGAGCCATGAACAAGCTTGGACTTGCAAATAAAGCAGCGCCCAAAACGGGAAGCGAAACGAGACGAAGCAAAGATGGACTCTTTGCCACGCCCACGCTCCTCCTCTTTTGGCTTTTCAATGCAGTGGCAAAAAAGCAGTTACACCCACTTTCACAAAAAAGGGATTTAAAAACTGAGAAAAGTTAGTTGAAAAGAAAGTTTTATCTTAAAAAAAATAGTAATTAAATTGCATTCTAGGAAGTCTTTTTATATTTCAAAAGATTCACTTTATCATACCATTATTTTTAGATCAGAGACCTCACACATTGTGAGTTAAAAATCGAACAAAGTGGCTAAATATAATTGAATTTTCTGAATTAGGAAATACATGCCATTTCGACTCTAAAAATACTTCAAAATTCGG